TGGCTGTCCACCAACGTTCACCATCCAACCTGACGGAACTGGAGAGGATCTGCAAGGAAGAATGGCAGAGGATCCCCAAATCCAGGTGTGAAAAACTTGTTGCATCATTCCCAAGAAGACTCATGGCTGTACTAGCTCAAAAGGGTGCTTCTACTCAATACTGAGCAAAGGGTCTGAATACTTATGACCAGCGGGTTTTACCCACTGTATTTCGCTGTTTGATAGAGCTGCACAGCAGATGACATCAATGTCAGCGTGACTCTTTGATTGGTACTGATTTGGTGTACAGCATGAAATGAGGCAATTATACTTCTGTGTTTTGAGAGCTATATAATCTCCATTTATTTTTAGAGTTAAGACAAACATATAGGCAGTACCGCACTAAAGATGATCATGGCAGTGGGATGATCGTATGGAGTCCAGCTAAAGACAAAAAAATGCTGCGTTCAGCTCTGCTAAACTTCACACAGCATGTCCACCCTATAGTGAGACTTGGGGGAAAAAACTACACAAGGTTGCCATAAGCTGCCATCTAGAACATTATGTGTGGACATGGAAGGCTGCTGGTAAATGTAGTGTTCTCTTTAACAGGGATCTTCCACGGTAGTGCTGGGGGCATGAGCTCAGGACACACATGGCACTGAGGGACACCAGAGCGGTCCCACCAAATCCCGTTAGGTAAGCCTGGGTTAGTGATTCCACGCTGCGAGACACTGGCTAGCACATCCGTCACGTTCTCACTACATCAAAGGGAAGTACAGCTCTTCACCCCCTCCACGAACCCCCTCCTCCTCGCCATGAGGATCTGCAATGGAGGGTCCAAAGGGGGAAAAAAAGGAGATGGAGCTCTCTTAACCCCCCCCCCCCCACCATAGCAGGCAAAACTAGGCTTAAAAAACTCGCGATTCTATCCGTTCCTCTCCTCGAGCTGTTGCTCAAGACCATGAGACTGTTCCAACACAGTCAGGTGAAACACCTTGTGGTATATCGCTGCACTGTCAACATTTCAGAGCCATGAAGAGGCAGTTGTGTCTTTATCTCGTTCCGGTAAGATGTCGTGAGCTAAGAGGTTGTGCGGTTTCTTTAAACCCCACAGATGAGCATGTAAAACAGGTCTTTCTTGTGATTTTAACCAAAAGGTAAACATGTCTGTGACAAACACAATCTGAAAATAGGTTTCAGGTTATTTAAAAATATGCACCGTCCATCACGAGCACGTTGATCTTTATTTAGAAGCTGTCATGTTCACATCCTCGCTCGCTTATTTGAAGGAGAAGACAAAAGCCCGTCAAAGCACCGAACTTCTCTTCTTCCACACATCAGTCCTGAAGCGATGGCACCCTAAACGCTCTGAGGAGTTATACTTAGCAACCATTATCCTCAATACCGTTATCGGCTATTGTGATAATTCTGACCAACATCGTAAAAGTGTTAAAAATGTTCATTTGTTAAAATAAACAAGCACAAAGACAGAGAGAAAACAACACAATTCAAACACGCAAACCCGGTTCTTTAATCAGGGTGTAAGAGGCTAAAAGTTAACACAGCCAGATTTATTCTGGAGAAATTAGGTTTCTTGAAGATACATATGCTTTACTGGGTTTTTAACTGGCTATAAGCATGTTCATGTATGCGTGTCGGGGACCTGGGACAGGACACATTGCTGTTTGCAGTGAGCTGAGGGGACAGAAAAGATCCATCCTCAAAGAGTCCTAAAGTATAATGATTAAATCTCAATTCTGACTAGAACCGAAATAAACATGTATATTTCTACAGCCGAACAGCAATCAGTGAAATGTATACATACCAATCAGAAACAAGTCTTTGCCGTCTCAGTGCACGGTCTGTCCTGTCACTTTGCCATCAGTCCAAATGCCCTAAGGTGTCGTAATATATCACTAAGACACTAGAAACATACCTTTTACATCATTTCTTTTTGTGCGCATGTATACATAAAGCTACTTGAGGCACTAGTCCCAAGCATCATGCTCACTAAACACACAATGGCCCTTTTTTTGCTCCTTCAAGGAAAAGATTTAGCTCACATGATGAACTCTCCAAATCACTAGACTTTGTGCTCAGGGTACCCTGCAGACTCCACATCCTAAAAGAGCTCTAGGATTACGTAAACACGAGGGTATCCGTAACACACCGCTGACTCTTTGAAGTGGTCAACGCGAATGCGCAACTGAACACCATTAGGTGTCTTGACACCAGAGTCTCAGGCTCTTGTGGGTGGAGGCGACCTATCAAGCTGGAAGCCCTAAAATCTGCTGACAATCAGCTACTCCCAGCAGCTCCATCATGACTGGACGGCATGTGCAGGAATGTCATGGTCAATGGAAATCAATCTAAACTACTGGGATTGTGGGGGGGGGGGCGGCGGCGGCAGGGCTGGGGATGGAAGAGAATGAAAGGGAGAATGTGCCTTTGATCTCGGTGAAAACTGATCCCAGGCCTGCAGATACTGTGGCTGCGGTGGCCGGCAGCGAGCTGACATCAGTGAGAAAGCCAGAAGACTCGTGTTCCGTGATTCCTCCACCAAAGCCTCGGCTCTTTTTATTGGATAAGTGAGAGAAACGTATATGAAATGACTACCGTTTTATTGAAGACAGTGTGAGGGGGCGTGTGTGGGGGGAATTGGGTGAAAATAAAATAAAAAAGCAGCCATGGTAAATGAAATGAAAGCTGGGCTTTAAAAGTTTTGGCAGTGAGTACGCTGTCTAGCTGCCTGGCCTAATTCATCTGCAGTGAGGGGTAATTTCCTCTCACACAGTCAGCTGGTCTCCACGCAGACCCCTCTGCGTACGATGGAACAACCGATAAAGATTTGACCAGAAAACAAGCCATAAACAGAGAACGTGAAAAGCATCGCACCCCACATGTCATAAACCGCTCTATTTGTCAACATGAAGAGGTTCAAATCGTGAGGTAATCACGTTTACTCGACAATGTCACGTACTTTCACCCTCTCCGACTTTGGCAGAGAGAGAAGCAATGCAATTTTAACACCATCCCGTGATAGAGTTGCGTGTGAATGAAGTTCCTTTACACACAGCATGTGGCGTCTGCCCCCCAACAATCACATCTGCCTCCAAGAGCCGACTCTCACAACAAGAGCTCACGTTTCCCAACTTTGCGCTGATGAAACTAACGCGTACGAGCTGCAAAAAAAAAAAAAAAAAGCACAAACAAAACCCAGAACATTGTGTGCGAGCGTTTCCTGTGTGAAAGGAACCAAAACCGCAGGCTGGTCGTCTTCCCCAAGTGCAATTCAGAGACTTTGGACAAAACCGGATTAGAGTGGACAGCTGCTGATGTGCCCCATGCGCTCTATGTCTGTCTTGAGAGGAGAAATTTGCAAACGGGACAGACACAGGAAGCCGCCAGTGAGAGACCTGCCAGCTGGCTTGAAATTGATACCATTACAGGGACTATATCTGCAACAACACACGCCGCCCCTGGACGCTATTATGAACTCCAGTGCAGGGACCTGACGTCGCCTTCGGGCCTCCTCGGTCATGCTGGGCTAATTAGAGGGCTTACTCGGGTCATGTATACAGGCAGCACTTAAGGTTTTAACAAGAGGAGAAATACTGTATATCCCATCTCTTAATCTTCTGGAAAGTATGACAGGCATTCAGCATCCAAGGGTCGCATATGGTTGTCAAGGATGTAAATATTGTACAAAGATACTCCGCATCAACACAAACAGTACCAACATTGTATTGTGAGGTTTAAGTTTGTTATTATCAGTCGAGAGATGTGATCTTACCTGAAAAACTTTTATTTATCAATTCTTTCATTACTTTTAATCACCAATTCATATTTTCAGGTCAAAGTTGTTGGTCAGGTGGAGGATGTTTTTTCGCATTGAATTGTTGTATTCCAAACTAAATGTTCTTCTGGTATGATAGTGAATTCAAAGCAACTGATTGGTTCATATTAAATATTTATTTGGTAATATATTGTGCTGCATGCATTTTGACCCAAGAGATTTTGTAAGCTATTTATAAACACGCTATTTTCATTTTTAATATTTTAAAAAGAGGCCATGCAAACAGCCATATATTAGCTGATGACCTTTTCTTAGCCTCATGTAGGGCTGCGACTATAAGGATTATATTCTTATGAGCCTTATCTGATTCTTCTTTAACAAATGTTTGGTATCTAACATTTAAAAACAAGGACATATAACAAGTTATCACCGTTATCTCAAAATTGCTTATTTTGTCTGAGGAACATTCCAAACCACAAAATGAAATATAAGCAAATGCTCGAAAGCCAATGTTAACAATGTCTTCTTTTTTAGGGACATTGAAAATTAGAGCCAGAAATAGGTGCACATTCTGCAATACCATATCTTTTATTTAAGTGCTGATTTGATTAAGTATTACAATATCTTTTTCTGTGATTCTTTAGTGGAATTTGATTTCATTTTTGACTTCATCAATATGAAAAACAAGGGATCGTAATTGAGATGTGTTAAAAGCGAGACCGCGTATTAGAGTCTGTGGACAGGTCAAGCAACAGGTTGCTTTCTTTTCTTCATCCTCAGTTACGTGTTACTTTACAAGTGATATCCCAAACAGCGCCTGAACATCCGTTTAACCTCAGCAGGTGCAACAGGAAGTCAAATCTCTGCAGGTCTATCATCATCCTCCATGTTTGTTGTTGCATTTGACCCCACAAGAGTGTGTTAACGACCAAATGTGTTGCTCCAGACAAGCACTTTCAGCGCGACGTTACCAACTTCTAACTACATCAACAAAAAAAACATAAACCTTAACCCACCAAAGAAAATAAATGTCTTGCCTCAAGTATACTGCCAAATAACACTGATTCAAGAGTTTTTTCTATAAATCCTTGCCACGCAAAATTGGGAAAGGTGGGTACCTTTGTGCCCTTCAGCCGAGTTGTTAGTTTACATTTTGTTAGCCTCAAGCAAAAGCATGTTTTTGACATTGTTACACACACAAGAAAAGCGAGTTGGTACTGACCGTTCTGGGCATGGGCGGCGAGAGGGAGCCATTGTTCATGTAGGAGTCGTTCATGTTGCCCATCATGATGTAGCCCGGGTAGCCCTGGTACGGATGCCCTTTACTGTACAGGTCGTGGAGTTTTCCTGATTAGAAAAAAAAGAAGTGTCAATTTACTGCATGTTTGCAAAAAGGCTTCCTATGAAGCCTTTCTTTTAAATGCATCAACATCAAAACTCTTTGTATTTCTCACCACCCTGGAGCTCAGATAAACAAATCTTACGAATGGCAAAATTCTAAAATTACTTCGGTCAATAAATCAAAGGGTTATTAATGATAAACACTGAGCACAAAGTCTCCCTGCCTCTTCTGAAGCCGTAATGATATCACTGTCGATCGCTTTAACCCGCGCCCTGTTTCGCCTGGGCCTTTTGTTTGTGCCCTTTCTTCCCGTCTTGGAGAGGAGGGGTCGTATTATACAGAAGAACAATGGAGCCCCTCTGTGCCAATTAGCACCAATTAGAAGAACATACAGACTGTGTCAAAACAGGAGACGCCCCGACAGTTCCACTGTGCCTTTGACCTGAGAGGGGGGAGCTTTATTCAAGAGGCCTCAATGCAGCGCCACTCGCCGCTCAACTGCGCGCGGAGTAATAAGGCCCGGGGGGGGGGGATGTTTGTGGTATACAGCCTGATGGCAACATGGATCTTGTTGTGAAGAAAGCCAGTGTTTGACTTGAGGGGGATCCTATTCAGGAACAAAGAGGAGACACACTCTAATGATGACATGCGGTCGCCGGGTCAGAATACAAATACCCAGAGAGCAAAGAGCCCCGGGCGGCAGCAACATGTTGCATGCAACCGTGTGACCAGAGAGCTGGAATAGTTTGTTGTGGTGTTAAAGGAACACAAGAGACAGAAATGTGATTTTTTTTTTTTTTTTTTTTTTTTCTTCCTTTGTAGGATTTTTAATCCTTCTGAAAATGAACACATCTGAAATGGGCATATTCGTTCCTGCTTCCAAGTCTGCAGGCACCCTCATCTACAAGGTAACAGGTACAGTGTGTCCTGACCAGACTTGTATCTGAGATTATCTGTCTGAGTGCAGCAAAAAAAAATAAAAAAACAGGGGCTCTGATAAGAGGAGGATCAACAGTGCAAGAGTGTGACTGATCACTTCTGTGCGGGGAAAACGAGGTTGCACTTTTCCCCCACCGTTCTCTCTTAAAAACCTCAACTTCTCGAGCTGCAACGAATCCTTCTGAAATTCGGAGGCTTCGCTGCAGCTAAACGACGTGCTGGTTGCTCCGATAGAGCATGCTGATATAACGAGCTCTCGCTGAAGGCGGCGTCACTTACCATCCTCCAAATGGTCTCTGTGTTTTTCATGATATGAATCTTGCGGTATTTGGGACTGTCTAGCTGCCTGTGAAAAGAAAAAGAAAAAGAATAAAAAATGTAAATGACGGTGAATCAATTAAGACGGCCTTGAAACGCAGTTACACACACAAACATGCTGATTCGGTCAGACACCCACAAACACTGCTGGGACAAATGCCGTCCCTTTTGCTTGTCACCAAAGCAGAACAAGCTTGCACACGCACACACACACACGCACACACACACACACACACACACACATACACAACCATCTATAGAGAGGTGATGTAGCAGCCTGCATCAAAGCTTCAAAAGAACCACTTAATTAAGCTTCATGTCCTTAAGGAGCTTACAAATTAACTTGTTTTCAATACCATAGGCCCACTCTCAGTTTCATCTCTCAGTTTATGTGTATTTATGTTGGAAATAAAAAAGCCTCTCTGTGCAAAGTGAAATAAAATCATCCCCATGAAAAGAGAAAATGGTGGAGACAGTTTTTGGCTTTACAGAAATAGAAATCCCCTGCTTTTCGCACAGCCATTTCCTTTCTCTTTGCGATTGAGAATTGGGAAGAGGACCTCTTTTTGGAGTTCAGACCCCTCAGGATGGCTTCAAGCTGAGCGAGGGAAGCTTCACTGGATTCCTAATTAACATTCAGCCTCTGTCTCGTGTGTCTCTAGGACATTTTGGTGGTGGATGTGTACAGTCTCGTTCAGGATGTGCCCAAAATTTTATTAACACTGCGGTTAATAACAAAAACAGGCGACTTAACTGTGTGATGGGGAAGCTGCAGCCTGCATCCTGAGGTTGGTGCACGGGTAGTAAACGAAATTAATTCAAACTGTGATGTTTCATGACCACGCTGCGTCTTTATGTGAACTTATAAAATGGCATCTTGCGAGCACAGAATTAAAAGGTAACATTTTTGAAAACATTCAAAATTCATCATTTATAATTCTTTAATTGAGATTAAATTTGCATTTACATACATAATACATTTCTTTTGATTTTACTCTTAATGCCTGCTTTTAATCGGATCGGTGAGGGTGGACCAGATCTAATGCCGCTGTACATGTGTTCAATATTTTTCTCGACCCCAAAAGCATGCAAAATAAATATATAATTGGGGTATTAAACGAACACGACAATTATCAAATACCATGATGATGTCAGAAAAAGATTCACATCTTGGTCACAAAAGAATTGGATGAAATAGATGAATCATCTCGTTTGTCAATAGGTTTTAAGCCAATGTGTCTGCTGTTACCAGCTTCCGAAGGTCAACCTGAACCCCTGCAAATACAGCTGTTAGCCTACTTGTCACTGGCAGCACACAAGGCCCCAATTCCTACATCTTAAATTATATAATTACATTTTTTTTTTTTTGGTTTCCATATCTTACTACACACTAATGAACTACAACTGCCACAGATGTTCAAGTGTGCATTTACACCGATAATGTTTCCAAAAAAGCAAGTTCACTGGGTGCTTAGGATGTAACATAGAGGTTTCTGGAGGTGGAGCTGGTACACCTGAGTCAGTAGACTGCAGTGCTACTGCATCACTAAGCTCATTTTTAAATACAATTTAAAGGTCAAAGTTCAGTTAAGGCTATAAATGCACCTGAACTCAGCTTGTGTTTTTTTTCTATTCTTAGATAAATCTTTATGATAAAAATGCTTATGACGTTATGAAACTGAGCAGGGTCATTTTAGGCCTATTTGCTCTTTAAAGCTCACCCCATCTTTCAAAGCTGTTAAATCAATTGAGTTAAGCCCTGAGTAATGAATTAAAAAAGAGAAGGGGCCAAGAGCTGAACGGAAACCAGGTCTTTAAATGATTAAAACCCCAAAACAACTTTGTTTGCTGGCCTGATGCAGGCATGCTTCTCCTCTCTGCACCTTCTTCATCCACCACATCAGTCACAACACGCAGCATTACTCACGTGGTGGATGTTGTTGTTGGGGCTGCTCTCCGACTCGTTGACCAGAGATGACTTGATGTCCGCCAGGTCTCCCTCCTCCTCCGAGTGGCTGAGCTCGGCGAAGATCTGCTCCTTGTGCGGGTCTCCTTCGTCTTTGAACGCGATCATTTCGTCCGTAGCGCACAGCTCCGGGTCTCCACCGCCGCCTGATAACTGTGGCATTTTCTTTTTTTTGTATTTGTTTTTACTCTGTTTGTTTCACTGAGAAAAACCAAAGACAACACACACACACACACACACACACGCTCGCGCGCGCGCGCGCCAGCACTGTCCGAAACTACAGTGGGGGAGAAAAACTCCCACTAAAATCCCCCCGAAACCCGAGTGAGCAAACGTCTCCCTCTTTGACCGGAGCGTCGAGTCACTGGAAGCGGCGTGCGAACACGCTGCCGGTGTGTTTCTACCGACGCAACAGGAGGAGCGGGGGCTCGTGTCGGCGTCCTTTTCTTTTTCAGCACGACTGTTTGAACTTAAAAAGGGCTGAAAGCTCAGACCCAGAATAACTTGATATGCTAAACTTGAGATGTAAAAGGCTCTCCAGTGCGCGCCTCAATGTCATGAGGGGGGGGTAAAAAAGGAAGACAAACCACGAGTTAAAATAGCATCACTAGTGTTTCAGTCCACACACACAAAACCGACGACGGATATGGTCCAGTAAAAAAAAACGTTAAAAAAAGTGCATTTCTAAAAGTGAGAAATAATATTTCCTCCGTGGTCCAGTGAAGAAGCTGCGTCGTCCTTGAAAGTAGGGGGAACAAAAAACAAAAAAAAGTAGGCTAACAAAACCAAAACACCGTCTGGGGGTGAAAAAGTAAACTGATGGATGTGCAACTGGAACAAAACACAGTTGTAACACCTAGACAAGACAACAAGCAACGCAGTACGCCGCTTTCATGCTTCAAAATACATCCTCGACGCAGGAGGGATAAAAGCAAAAAGTCATAAAACAATCAGAAAAGAAGGTAGAGAGGAGGGGAAAAAAACCTCGCTCGTGTGGACCGACTTCCCACTGCTCCCACACTGCTTCCACAGTGTAATATAACCAGTGTGTGTATGTGTGTTGGTAATGTAGCTGTGCTCCCTCCTCCTCCTCCTCTCTTCAGTCATTGGGAGGAAGGAGAGATGAAAGGGAAGCCGAAACTCTGATTGACACCGCACCGATTGACACTCCTCCTGAGAGAGATTTATACGCGGCTCACAACAAATGGGCAGACGGAAGAAGAAGAAGAAGAAGAAGAAGAAGAAGAAGAAAAGGGAAAGAAGCGGTGAGGCTGACACGCGCAGTGGTGTGATCGGTTAAAACAATCATGATGAATAAAAATTATAGCAGAAATAGAGGGGGGGCAAGACGAGCTTAAACTTGTTTGGCCGACACAGGAGAGGTGAAGTTTAATATAAACGCAAGAATTGGCAACAGTGTTATTTTCTGCGGTAATACCCAACAATCTTGGTTCCCACGTGAGAAGAAGAGAACATATATTTAGGGGTTTGTTCCATTTGTACAAATAATACAAGTAAGGTGTGTATCTGGTTAAACATCATTAACCTATAACAGAATCATATATGTTTATCATTTATATATTTGTGTATTCAGCATTTTTGGTAAAGAGGTGGGTGGGGGGTGTCTGTTTATTGTTACCTCTTTCAATTGCTTTTTTATAAATATCAAGGGCATGCTTGCGGTTTTCTAGTGTTTTCCATTTATTTCTAACAATATGTGCAAATATTAAATGTATGCTATTGCAATCCAACAAAACAATGTTGTATATATAAGTATGTGCCACATTGGCGAGATAATAAAATGTGATGTATTGGTCCAGGGGTCCCAAAACTTCGACATATTAGCTACCTCTATTTATATAAAGTTCTAAGTCTGAGACACCCATCTGATCTATATGATAAAGATGACACATTTTATATTTTCATTCATTTTTAACACACACACACACACACACACACACACACACACACACACACACACACACACACACACACACAGATATACCCCGTTTGGGGAGTAATGATTGGCACACAATAACTCTTTAAAAATACATTCAAATAAATACAAGATAAATACATTGTTTAATAAATTAATAATAGCAAATATGCAACAAAAAAGCAACGAAAATTTGGGAATATTATCAAAAGAAAAGAAGAACTTGAGTCTTGGAGACTCGATTATCTCATGAGAAAAAGAAAATAAACAACAGAAAAAGCAGCAGAAGTGCTGTTCTTTCTGTGCCAGTCTGAGCAGTGAAAGATTGCGTGAGAATCAAAGTTGGGATGGGGAGGCAGATCTTTATAAAGCGCGGAGGTGGGGTTAGCGGGGCGGAGCCGCGGCTGCCTTTGATCTTGCGGCGGCTGGCTCTTTCATCCCCGACTCCCCCCACCACCGCCTCCCTTTTCCACCCCTTCCTCCCTCCTCCTCCTCGCTCTCCCTCGCCTTTGTATGACTAAATTTGGTCCGAGTATGGAGCCGGGCCAACATTTCCACGTGTGCGTTCATCCCAGCTGAGAGAGAGAGAAAAAGAGAGAGAGAGGAAAGAGAGAGAGGGAGAGATGGAGAGAGAAGGGAGAGAAGGGAGAACGAGAGAGAGAGAGAGAGAGAGAGAGAGAGAGAGAGAGAGAGAGAGAGAAGGGGTTCTCTTCCGGGTAAGGATACAGCGGAAAAAAAAGATCAAAGGCAGCAGAGACTGGATTCAAAAGAACCGAGACTGGCTGCATTCCAGAGTATAGCGGAAAGCGCGCGTTCCCACACGCGCCCACACTCACATATACACGGGCACGCACGCACGCACGTGGGATACAAGCACCGACACGCGCGTAAATACAGCGCTGAAAGAGAGAGAGAGTTAATTAGAAATATTTTACACAAGCAGACCTGAACAATCAAACCCTTTCATTAAAAAAAAAAATCCTTTAACATTATATTTCTTGTTTTCCAGCCCGAAAAATTAGAAGAAGAAAAATGTGATACAAGGTATGAACTCTGTTTCCCTTCCTGCTCTGTGCAAAGTGTCGGTTCTGCTTAATTACAGTACTTCTTTAATTTAATTATCCGTCACTTCTTTTGGCACAATCTGAAATGATGCTACCTTCTTCCACCACCACCCTAAAACCACGCTAGGAACAATTTCATTCCATTGAAATATATTTTTATTCTGTGTCTTTAACAGCATTCACCTTGGATATGGTTTTAATCATAAAATTGGGAGGAAGGGGGAATCTGGAAAAAACGAATTTTGGTAGGCCTATTAAGATACTAAAAAGAGACAGTGCAGGCCTGCAGGGCCCGAGGTGAAGAGATCCAAACTGTGAAAAATGAAACAGATTAAACAAATCAGGACTAAATGATTTTTGGCTTAGACTTATTGGCATTGCAATATATTATAAAATACAATATATGCGACGTTGTTAAGGAGACTAAGCATGGTGTTCTGTTCGGGCTCCAAAAACATACTTAACATTGTTTTATCACTTTTACTATTCCAATGAGAATTGAGTATAAATAGGATTTTGAACCAATTTCGTAAAATAGCACTTCTGTTTGGGGTCCACGAGGCTCCAGCTGTAAAACATGGTTTGATTGATCTGATGTATTGATTGGTGATGACAATACTAGCAGTCTATTCCAATTTCTGTAATTTAAGTTGAGCACGGACCCCAAACATGAGTAATGTCACCATTTAAGACAACATGATGAGCATTTGTTGTCTGTGAATGTTTTTGGTTTTTTGCAAACAAATGAAATACAATAACAAAATAGTTCCATATGAAACATGAAAATTCTCCTCTTTTGGTGTAATAACAATGCTTTATGGACTATTCTGTCCATTCTGCACAGTTTGTGGCAAACTTAAATTCAAGGGTTACCCCTTTAATTTAAATAGGTTTAGGAAAATAGCAAAAACAAATATTGTAAAAAATAGGTAGATTTTTATATATGATTATTTTTACACACAAGGCAGTGGGGGACAATGATTAGTAATGCCAATATCAACAAAACAAAAGGGTCAATCAAGATGTAGACATTCCCTTTCCAAAGAAATACTAATATACTAATAAAAGCTGGAAAATAGAGTAATAAAAAAAAACAGACGGTATATTTAGTTAGAAGCACAGATAAGGTAATAGGTATACACTGAAACTCAGTTGAATAATAATTTCCGAGGCACAAATGTCAGGTAATTAAGAAGAAAACCCATTATTGCAAATGTTACTTGTATGATGCACATTGGTCACTAAAGGAAGTAGAAAAAGGTCAATTAAGGTATCAATTTGATCGTGTTTCCTGCATAACCTGAACAAAATAACCTGAATTGCATATCCGGGCCTTGCAAAGGGAAGTCGTTTGTGGAAGTCTTGGGTGAGAGATTCATTATTAAACGCTCTCTGCTGCACAATGAGAGGCAGCTGCAGAAAAGTGAGGAGGGGCCATTTGTTCACCAGGATACTACACTGATGTACATACTTCACTGAGCATATAGATTTCCTTTTTCAAGCTGTTTTTTTTTCCATTTATTTAATGACCATTGTTCGTAGCAGTAGAATAATAACCCGGCATAGATAAAGATGAGGCTTTGTGTGCTGTGTAATAATTCTAGTTTAGTGACTTGATGACAAGGCGGCGAACGACAGCCTCTCTAATGACGACGCTGTCACAACCACTTTACACACTTTCTCTTGACATCGAAATACATTATATTCTCCAGCAAGGCTCGGTGTTTCGTAGCCTCGGTTGTCAAAATAACCAGGAAAGCTGAAGTGGAGGGAAAAGAGATAGAATTAAGGAGCGGAGAGAGAGAAAAAAACAGAGTACATTAGCATTTCTCTCCTAATGAGTTCATAAGAGTGACCCCTCTGGATCTCACATGAAAAGGAAGATTTCCTGCTGCGCTGTGACCTGAATTCAGTATTCTCTCACTTTAGATACTACATTTTGCATGTTATATAAGGAAGGAATATATCAATACACACAGCATAATTTATCATCAGCGGATTTTTATTCCTTATTTCCCTCCTTAAAAAACAGCAGTCAATCTGAAGAATGAAATCATATGCATTGGTCTGCACATGGCGGTGTGAAAGTGCTGATGAAAATAATGTATGTCTAGCATATTTTGTTTTATATCATGTCTCATAAAGTTGGGAGAGCATATCAGTTTAGCAGACAATATGAATTGTGTCAAACAAAATGCTCTTTGTTGGAACAACATTCAGTCAAGGTCCTCTTTAGATCTATTATTGTCTCATCTTTTATCTGTTCTATTTTCATTGCAATGCACAATACTTCAAACAGAAATTACCCTAATTATCTCCTGTTCGCGCTGTGTGCTGTGTATGTGTGTGTGTATGTGTGTGTCTGTGCCTGCGTGTGTGAACGTCCGCCTGTTCAGTGTGATGACTTGTCAATATCAGTTCCTAGATTCACCTGCCAGGTGAGTTCAGTGGTGAAATCCCTACTCTGCTGTTTCTATTCCACCTGCTAGTCATTCATAAAAACTTCCTTGATGTAGAAATTATAGCCCTCGTGCTTGCAGCCAATCTCCACGAAAACGACAGGAAACAAACATCAAATTATGATGAAAAGAGCTTGCAATTAAAGCAGGGAAAAGACACCATTTATCAAACGTGCAAATCAAAAATGGGGGAGGTCTGAGGTGAGTGATTATTTGTGCGGCTCTTTGATTGGTGGAAGATGACTCACCTTCTTGAAGGGGAGGAAAGTGTCTTGTGGGTAAGGTGAGGAAGAGAGAGGCAGACGTGTGATCTGTTGATTTATGGCAACGCTGTCAGGAGGCTGTCTCAGACAAACTGTCATTAAAGTGAAATGATCTCCTTGATGGAAAAGGAGGGGAATTTGTCATACGTATGTGTTTTGGATGTGTCCAATTCTGATAGGAGAGGCTTGAGTATACAAGAAGAACGGAGTAAATCCAAGAATACAGGCAAGGAAACTCACACCATGATAGTGCTGTGAAGGTAATTTATTTTTTACAAATGAGTCTACAGCCATGCTAGCAGCTACCATGACTGATGCTAACATCAGCATGCAACCATGCTCACAATGACACGGTTTACATGGTGATTTTGATCAGGTTTAATGTTTACCATATTTATCACCTTAGTTTAGTGTGTTAGTATGCTAACATTTCCTAATTAGCACTGAACACAAAGTACAGCTGAGGCTGATGGGAATGTCATTTGTTTTTGTGTTGGACAAAAAT